CCGTCTCGACTCATCACATGGAGAAATAACCATCCTAGATTGGGTGTTGGGTATCCACGGACTCCCCCACACCGGAATGCGCAGCTCGTCTCCTACTCTCCATCGAATACTCCTTTGCACCACCCATCTCACCCCCCATATTCCCCTCCACGTATACCTCAGGTTGGTGCCCAACTCCGAGTTTAAGTAATCTCTTCCCTGAAAATATCGGGCACTCAAAATTCTGGCAATAAGGCTCTCGAGGTACTTAATCAATCTCCAAGCCTGTTTTGCAAGTAAGGCTGCATTAAAGAGTTTAAAATCTCTAAACCCCAAACCACCCACCGCCTTGGGTTCACACAACTTCCTCCAAGCAAGCTAATGAATCTTTTGCTCCCCTTTCTTTTGCCCCCAAAAAAATTTTGACACCAAAGACTGCAACTCATCACAAAAAGAAGAAGGAAATTTAAACAAACTCATCACGTAGGTTGGGATAGATTGGGCAACAGCCTTAATCTGGACCTCCTGACCCGCCTTAGATAACATTCCCCCCTTCCACCCTTGTAGTCTCTTCCATAATTTTTCACGAACACCCTTTGTAAGCACCCTCTTTGACCTCCCAACAACAATCGGAAGGCCAAGATACTTATCATGTATATCAACCTGCTGCACACCTAATAGACTTGCCAACTCCCCCCTTCCTTCCTCCGCCACTCCCTTACTAAAAGACACCGTCGTCTTACTAACATTAACCATTTGCCCTGATGCTGCCTCATAAGTATGGAGGATCCCTCTAATTGTCTCTACCTCTTCCACATTTGCTTTAGAAAACATAATACTATCATCCGCAAATAACAAATGTGAAATTGAAGGAGCCATTGAGCCACTCTAATACCGTGCAAGCTACCATTCTCCACCGCTCTATTCAACAAACCAGATAATGCCTCAGCACACAAAATGAACAAATATGGGGATATAGGCTCACCTTGTCGCAAACCCCTAGAAGGGGTAAACTCCCCCGAAGGTGCACCATTTATCAGAACTTAAAACGAGACAGTAGAAATACAATGCATAACACGATCAATTCCACATTTCTGCAAATCCCATATTCACCATTACAACTCTCATAAATCCCCACTCCACTCTATCATAAGCCTTAGCCATATCCAACTTCAGAGCCAAAGAACCACCCGTACTAGTCGAATTTTTCATTTGGTGAAACACTTCAAACACCACTAGAATATTGTCTGTAATTAATCTCCCCGGAATAAAAAGCACTTTGATTCAGAGAAGTAATATAAGATAGAAATAATTTCAGACGATTTGCAAGCACCTTAGTAATCAATTTATACACCGCATTACACAAACTAATGGGACGGAATTTAGTCATTTTATCTGGCTCTTTTTTCTTTGGGATCAACCCAATAAAGGTTTTATTAATTTCTCTCGAAATAAACTCACCATTTAGAACACCCAACACAAGATTTGTGACCGCCAAACCAACAATATGCCAATAAGTTTGGAAGAATAAAGGGCACATACCATCCGGGCTAGGCGCTTTAAGAGGATGCATTTGCTTAAGAGCCACAAGAACCTCTTCTGCTTTATACTCCACGCATAGCTGGTCATTCATGCCATCAATAACACGCCGCTCAACACCCGCAAGAGCATCATCGAACATCGACGGATCAGAGGTGGTAAACAATGAATGAAAATAATCAACCGCCACCCTTCTAATCCCATCTTCATCAGTATGCCGAACCCCATCATCAGTGTCAAGGTGTCAAATGATATATTTATTGCGGCGCTGAGAAGCCTTATGGTGAAAAAACTGGAATTTCGATCCCCCATAGTGAGCCAAAGAGCCCTCGACCTTTGCCGCCAATAAATTTCTTCAACATGAATAAGCTCATTTATCTCCTTCACCACTTTTCTTCTCTCCCTAACCTTATTCACCTCCCTGCCCCCTCTATTTAGAGCACTAAGTCTTTTCCTTTTTTTCCTCAATTCTCTAAACACCCTTCCAAACTCCCTGTCACTCCAAACTTTCAACTCAGCTACACAATATGCTATTCGACTCTCCACCGTACCACCCCCAAGTAGCCATTAATTCTCTACAACACCTTCACACTTGTCATTCTCCATCCAAAATTGCTCAAATCTAATTTTTTTTCCCTTCCTCTAAAGCACCGTACCACCTTCCACCAAATCGAAACGAATTGGCGCATGATTAGACCAATCACGATCCAAGTTGTGAAGTTTCGCCTGAGGGAATAAGTCCAACCAGCTTGTAGTCACAAGAGCTCTATCTAGCCGACATTGCACATTATCCGCCCCACATTGTCCATTATCATTCGTGAACTCATACCCCGTACAATGCACATCACGCTGATTGCAAACATCCAGAGCCTTTCTAAAATTCTCCATTTGCCAAATAGCTCTATCCCTTCCTCCTTTCTTTTCCGATTCTAAGAGAATTTCATTAAAATATCCAATGCACACCCAAGCCTCATCCCTTTGACAAGCAAGATTAGACAAAAGACTCCAAGAGAGATGCCTATTCTGCACTTTAGGCCACCCATAAAAACCAGTCAATCTCCACACCGGATCACCAACCACATATTTAACAAGAACATCAATGTGGTGAACCAACATGGACTGTAAATGTACCTCCACCTCCTTTAGCCAGAATAATGCCACACCACCCGATCTCCCACAATATCTACCACTAAACCATCATAGTTTGGAAATTTTGTACGAATTATAGCCATTTCACCACTAATTAACTTCATCTCCATAAGAAAAACAAGAGACGGGGCCTCCCTCCGAACCAGGTTTTTGAGGTTATCAACTGCAAAGGTATTGCCCAACCCACTATAGTTAATGCTTAAGATACTCATTGACCTTGGCGGGGCTGCATATCAACAGCCTCCGCCACCCGCAATCCAGAAAAAGAACCATCAACCATCATCTTCTTACATAACCCCTCCTACTCCTCACAATTTTTATTCACCTCCCTCACCCGTTTTCCCAAAGTATCATACTCCACTGCTCATATGATGATCAAAAGTACCATTCTACCTAACTAATTTTTTCTATCCCTTTCCCCCACTTACTGACTTCCCTTTACTCACCCCCACCACTAATCCACGTGACCCCACGCACTCCACTCCCTCTATATTCCCTTCCCTTTCTACCTTCCTCTCGTCAAACCCCACCAAAGCAGCCCCCACAACAACACCTTCCTCCCCATCAACGAAAGCTATATTAATTTGTTTATCCCCAAGCTCATCTACCCCCCAAGCACTAAAGGCCTTTCCCTCTCCTCCAACTGCTCAGTCTCACTCTCTACCTTCTCTTCCGAGTCCTTAGTAACAAAGAGTTACCTTCTCGAAGTAATAACCGCAGCTAATTCCTTATCCTCCTTCCCTTTTCCTTTCCTAGGCGATGCCCTAAGCCATCTCCCCCACCCAAGCTTCGTTTTTTACTCTCCTTCGGCACCATACTCCAATCTTTCTCTGAGTGCCCGATCACTCCACAAGCGAAGCAAAAAAATGCATGGCAGCCTCTCATATGTAAACTCTACACACACCGTCCTTCCTCCTTTATCAAGAATGCGCTGGAAGCGGCGTAATGGCTTGGTAATATTAACCATAACCTTTATGCGACGGAAACGATCCAATCCAAGAATATCTTCCTCCAATTCGACACAATTTCCTTGACATCGTCATCGGACCTACAATTAAATGGAAGGTTTTTGATTCGGACCCAAAACAGAGAGTGATAAAGGGGCACTTTTTCAGGTTGTTCATCCCCCTCCACCTCTTTCAAAACTAATAGCTTGTTATTGAAACACCACGGACGGCCATTCAAAACCCCCTCCTAGCCTTGTCCATCCAGTGAAAAACTTGAAACGCATACAAATTAGGGCCAAGAACCCTAATAATTAGTTGATCCGCCCCACTGACATCACTAGTTGAAAATAATAAATATGGAGAAGGAAGGAAGTAGGAAATTTTCAAATGAATCTATACATTTTAATTTCCATTTCTATACATAGATTTGAAGGCTATTCTTTTTAGAGCAAGTTAACAAGTGGTTCATTATTCAATTACTTCTCCATCCTAAAATAATTTTATTGTACTCAGAAATTTTAGTTTTTCTTATCTTATAAGAAATATGTCCTGATTGCGCCCATTACATAAAATGGGCTATGAACTAGGAGAAGAATAAAACTAAACTATCAATTTTAGTTTTGCTGAAAGGGGAGTGGGAGTTTTGGAGGGAAAAAACAGCACCAGGATGTGACACATGTCACTCCCAGTGTCTATTTTAGTATTTAGTTATTATTGATTTTTCGGTAAAATTCAATAATACTCGTTTCAAAGATACTTAAAAAAGAGATGGAAAACTATTTTAAGTAAATGTGCATGGAAAATTTTAGAAAACAGTAAAAAGGAATACATTTTATATAGAGATAATATATAAATTTAGAATAATATTATTTAGTTTTATTATAAAAAACTTCCAAAAATAAAATATTTTTTGCTAAAAGGGGAGGGGGAGTTTTGGAGGGAAAAAATAGCACCAGGATGTGACACATGTCACTCCCGGTGTCTGTTTTAATATTAAGTTATTGATGATTGATTAATGCTTTGCTACATGCTATAATTCCCTTAATCAAAAACTGAAGTTTTTGTACAATCAAAAGCTGAAGCTGATAATAGGATCCCTAAGGCTAATTTGTAAGCTAAGTAAATAATTTATTACTTGTTAGAATCATCATTATTAACATTCAAGTATTATAATTTTTATTAATTTTATTATAAATCAAAATTTTACATTGACATACATACATAGGAGCTAACGTTTCACCTACAAAAATACAGAGTGTCAAGATACACCATTGTTGAATTGTTAAATCCACGAGAATTAACACATCATTTCAAGAAAACTTAGTTCCCACATACAACTATACATATACGAAAGTACTTAGTATAAAACGAAGTACTAAAAATTACCTTAGATGTGAGAGAAGGGGATAGAGAAGGCATAATATCAGCAAGATGAGACTTGATCCTCTGAAGCGCCTCCTTAGTAAGACCTTGCGCCGCCGTAGTAACATCCTTGATCACAGACTCAAAGTAAAGCCTAGCGTTCTCCAACGCCTCGGACGGTACCGAAGCAGCAGCTAGCTTCTCCATCAACCGTTCCTTTACCATACTCATTCTATTCTTTATATCATTTGCTACACTTCTTCCCACCATACTATTTCACTTCACTTCTTCTATTTCTTGTTTGTTGATGATAATATCAAGTATATATATATTTTTTTTTGATAGAAAATTAAGTGTATTATTGTGTTAATTTTTGATACCATAGTTAGGAGAGTATAATTCTCCTTGCTTCTTTCATTTCATCCACAATTTTTTTTTTTTGATTTGATGTCTTTTTTGTTCTTTTATGAAGTTGAACCACTCATAGTTTTTAAAGGTGTTATATGGTTGATTTCTTGCTATTTTTGCTGGCTACGGTTTGATCTTAGGTTTTGTTTTTATATTGTAGTTATATAGTTTGTGCTCTCTCATTTTTTTTTTTAACAAAACTCCCTTTGTCCCTTATATTTTTGCCCGATTGCAAATAAATGGGTAAATTTTTAAAACTTTGATCATAAATTTCTTTTAATCATTAAAAGATAATATAGTCATATGAGGTCTTGTTATATTCGTTTCATTGTATATTTTATTAATATCAAGTTTTTATAATTTTTACGTGTATAGAAATAAACTAATATACGTTTTAATAAGCGTCTTAAAGACCGTGAAAAGTCAAATGAGACAAAAAATAGGGACATAGGGAGTACATTACTTTAATTTTTGTTATACTCTCTCTGTCCCTATTTCTTTGCCCCATTGCAAATAATAGGGTCAAACTTCAAAAACTTTGACTATAAATTCCCATTAATCAATAAGAGGTAATATAGTCATGTGGGATTTTGTTGAATTCGCCTCATTGTATATTTTATTAATATCAAGTTTTTATAATTTTTACGCGTATAGAAATAAGGTTATTTGCGTTACAAGACGCATCTTGGAGACCATGCAAAGTCCAATGGGGCAAAAAAATAGGGACAGAGGGAGTATCCATTTACTAATTTTTGTTATATTAATTGTTTCACTTTTCTTTTGCGATCGTATTTTATTAATTGTTCCATTTCCTTTTTTGGAAACTTTTAACAATAATATTTTCCTCTCAACTAGTAGTCCTCTCATATCATAGTTTAATATTTTCCATAATTTCTTTCCTCCCAACTAATACTTACTTTTTTAAAAAATATATATATTTATTATTTTTTTAATCAACCCCACTTCTATCGTAAAATAATACATTATACTATTTTTCCTAAAAATCCGTGTTTGAAGAAATGGAGCAAATAATAAAATATGGAGAGAGTATATACTAATTTTGTGTCTATTAGCTAAATTTTAGAATAAACTAGATTAGTGCTCGATGCACGGTAGTAATAGTCTTTTTTCCCATAATTAATCTGCAATATAATATAAAAATGAGGCAACTCATGTGGAATAAACAAATGCAATGCATTTAAGAAAGATGAAATAATAATCCAGTAGTTATTAAAACTACAATTGAGAAAAAAAATATATTTTTGATTCGTTGTGTTGAAAATATTTAAACATAGTATACATTATATTACACTAATGATGCATGTTATTCCCAATAAAACTATACAATGTAGATGTCATATAGCTTTTTATTAATGAATTAATTTAGTTTGAAAAAAAATACTATACAATGTACTTCTAAAAAATAAGCTATGTAGAATAACAATTTTTTTTTTTAAGAAAAAAAAATTAAAGCTGACATCATATATTATATTGGCAGGAATTTTTTAAATGATAGCTTGACAAATGTCCAAAATGATCGATATAAGCATGACCTGTTTTAGTAATAATTAATTGATTTTTTGAAGGAAAAAAGAAAAAAAAATTAGTTGGTAAAATTATTACAGAAAACTAACTCAATTATTGTTATTTCATAAGATTTGTCAACACCATGAATTAATGTTTTTTTTTCTATTGAACCCCACTATTTATATAATAGTAATTGCAGGCGTCATTCGAAGCGCGCCTACTTTAGCATGTTGTGAATATGCTTGGCACTCATAGCAAGTGGGAATTGACATACGATTAGGGACAAATCAAAGTAGGGAGCCGCCAACAAGTTTTTAAGGAACTTGTAAACCGTTCACGGATCATTTAAGGCAACAAGATTGACCCGTGAAGGTTACACCCCATTCATAATCCATGAGATTACTAACTCCATATGGTTTGGAACCACGAAAGGAGGATCAGGGATGATGGTATGAAGTGAGTCATGGAGTCACATTCACCCGTATGACCTCTACTCGATTCGTTTTTTGTGAAAAGTAATTCCTGGGATCTCAAAGGCACACAAACAAAGATTTAATTTGCTCCAAACTAAATTAGGCTAAATTGGTTGAATATTAATGCAACACATAATTCTAAAATATTGTGATCACTTGATTAAACAACAAGATTAAAAAGGAACCTAAATCGGTTGTCCAAAATATCTTATTAAGCGTTATATTCAATTACATATTCCCTTTAAACATGCAAACATGTCAATGGCATATGACACGATGTAAACAATGACTCAATACTAACTTAAGAGTTAAATATGGAAATCTGAATAGTTTCAACCCTGGTTGATCGAACCCTAAGAATTGAACAAAAATTGGTGTGATATCAAATTGAAACCTATATTTTTACTAAATCCGAGATTATCTTAATTGAAATCAACACGGTACAGACTAACCTGACCAAAAGTCAATCAATCTAAATATCTCGTGAGTTTATAGTGAAATTGGAAAATCTAATGTAGTCATTTGAAAATTGACAACCACAATTTTAAAATTAATGGCTATGATTTTGATTTTTGAATTATTTTTAAATGCTAAATTAATTAAACTATATTATTCTTATTTTAGGAATTCATTTTAAATTTTTGAAATTTAAGTATTCAAAATTTCAGATTGTTTTACAAATTAATTTATGAAATTTAGCTTTGTTTATTAATAAAATCAAAAAATTAAATTACATTTTTCCAAGATATAAATAAATTGAATTTTAATTAATATTAACGTTTAAAAATAATTCAAAATCCATTAAATCTAAGCTGTTTATTTTTAAAAATGATAGCGATAGAATCATAAAAACTTTATAGTGAAAATGTATACTCTCTCTTTCACAATGATGTTTATTTTCATTTGGAATCTTTTGATTTTATTATAGTAAATCTTCTAAATTTCACTCAATTTTGAAGAACAAACATAGTCATATGGGGTCTTTTACTACAAAAATAAAGTCATTTGGAAATCTAGTTTGATTCGTCTTAAGCAGTTGCCTTATACTTGTACTCCTTCGAAGGTAAATAAAGTTGTACTAGTGTTATCGTTGCCTATTGTTGTTCTCCCCTTGTCCCCTGTATAATAGGCGTCATCCTAGGTAAAGATGGCAACGGACCGGATCTGGATCTAATCCTATTGGATTCGGATCCAAATCCATTTTAAGGACATAGATCCAGATCCGGATCCATTGGATCCAACGGATCCATGAATCCGGATCCGGGTCCACATGTATTTTTTTTGTTTCAAAAATTTGTTGCTTTTAAAACTTTTTTCTGTACAAAAGGAGCTAAAATATAGATTTATAAGTTCAATTATTACATACCTATATGATTAACCCATTATTTTTGTCCAGAATAATAAATAAATAATTAAAGTTTAGTTCATAAAAAAATAAAAAACAAAGTATGTAATATTAGAGAAACTTATAGGTATATATTTATATAAGACTAGTCAAATTAATTAATATATAAATCTTGAACAAAATCATAATAATATATAAAATAAATAAAAAAAACTGGATCCATGGGTCGGATTCGTACCGGATCCGGATCTCAAAAATACCAGATTCAGATCCGGTCCATCATAACGGATTCGGATCCAGATCCACCGGGTCCAAAAATTAGGGATCTAGATCCTGTAAAACGAATCTAGATCCACCGGATCCAGATCGGATTCAGGATCCATTGCCATCTCTAATCCTAGGATAGTTTATTATGTGTGATATTGTAAGTAAGTAAATAAATAAATATATAAATAAAAAATAAAAAAAATTCATAGCCCTAGTGGATTTAAAAACCATCGGAAAATATAAAATTTCCTATGGTTCTAAAAGCCATAGGAAATATTCGATGGTTTTAAAAGATATAAGAAATTTTCAATGGCCTAAAACCATCGGAAAATACAAACTTTCCGACGGTTTAAAAGCCACCAGAAATTTCTGATGGCCTTTATGAAATAAACCATCGGAAATTAATTTAATTAAAAAAAAGTGGAGAAACCCTTATTCTATACGCCCTCTTATACCCTTTTACCAGTCGCCCCCTACTTTATTTCTTTCTCATTTCCCCTCTTCTATTCTCTCTCCTCCTCTCCTCTATTCTCCCCTCTATCTCTCTCCTCTCGATGTATCTTCTTCTCATTTCCCTTCCTTCTCCTTTCCTCTCATCCTCTTTCTCATTTTTCAATCGTCGCACCGTCATAAGTCGTCGCACCGTCGTAGGTTCCCTAGTTGCCGCCTAATGTCCATGTTTTAAGATCCATTTTTATATATATTTATGATTATAAACGAATTCAAGGTTTTTAGATCGAATTCGACCATGAAAACTCAAGATCTAGAGTTTTCATGGTCGAATTTAGCCTCATAAAACCGAATTCAAGGTGAAATTCGAAGGTATGAACTTATTAAGGTAAATCTGGGATGAATTTATGGCCGATTTAAAGGTGTGTTTGTTTTTTTTTTAATTTCTTTCTTCTAATGCTGTTTTTGAGTTTCTTTTCCTTTATTTTTGAATTTTTTTGCGTTATGGGGCGTGCATTTGTGGTAGTGGTTATGCTGGGTGGGTTTAAGGGGGTTTAATTTGCCTGAAGGTGGGCTAGATTTATGGTGGGTTAGTGTGGTGGGTTAGGGTTAATGTGGTAGGGGTGGCAGTATAGGGTTTTCATGGTAGTGGAGAAGGAGAAGGTGGTGGTGTGGTGGCTGGTTGTTAATTTTTTTAATGTGTTATTTTTTCTAACGTAACTAAAGTTAATTTTAATGTAATATTTTATTGGTAAGGTTAACGTGGTGGTTTACGGTGGGAGGGTTTAGGCGATTTTGGGCCATGGGTTGCAAATTTGGGGTTGGATGATGGCGGTTGAAGGGGTTGTTTAAAGTGGAGGAAAAGAGGGAGGGGACAGCCTTTTTTTTTTTCTACAGTCATTTTCGACGGCCTAGCCATCGAAAATTTCCGACGGATTATCTGACCATCAGAATATTCCGATGGTTTTGGCCATTGGAAATCAACCAAGATGGCCGAAAATTTTGAGCTTCCATAGCTCAAATTTTCGGACCTCT